AGATGATAAATGCTGAACCCAGCCGAGTGTGATGAATTGCGCTGGCGCTTGAGCTCGTGTTTCCCCTCTGTAAACAAAAATGAAATGAGCTCTCCATCATCTGAGTGAAGAATCGCAAATCTACAACAGCTTATCTTTATTTACTTGACTGTAAGCAGCCTCCGCCTGGGGGATTGTCCCGTCATTGTTGCGTTGTTAATTGCCGCTCATTAGACGGGGTGCATTCACTCTACTGTCTGCGGTTAGGTTAGATAAAATGATGACGAGGGAAAGATTGGTTATCAGGCTTTTGTGTGCCAGCTGGATCATTGAGGGCATAAAACAAACGATTCTCCATCGCTGCCCCCAAGGTTTCAGTGCACCAAATAGATTCAACAAGAACAAAAGCCCATTGCCAAGTGATTCATTGAGGTCTTTCTGGTTCACTTCACCATTTGCTGACACAAGCTTGAATGTTATTGGGCAATTAAAGGTAATGAAATGTTATGAAGTATTGTGAAACTGTGCCCAAGTTGGGTGTACTACTCCTATATCTCAATGGGAAATAAATATGAATGTACACGGCAAAGTATTAGCAGCTGCAAGCCAGTTTTCTAAGAGCTTACACATTGTTTAACTCACTGTTATGTCTATTACGTTGCCGCCCATTGGCCTTGTATGGAGCTATTCAACATGTATTTGACTACTCCCGAATGAACTCACTTGGCTTTAACAAAGTCATTTTAGAGTGTAGTAATTCTGAGGGATGTAGGCCCCTCTTTTTTCAACACACATGCCCCAGAGGATGCTGGTTGATAACCATGCCTCTCATGTTAGCCCCAGGTCATCCACAATTTCACACAAGTTACAAATTAGCAGCTGTTTACCTCTGCATGCATGCTACCATGTCAAATACAAGATTACCTTTGAAATAATAGAGATGACCTCATTTCAGGAGACATGTCTGGGCATGTACAGTATGACCTCACTGCCACAGGACGATATTGACAGACTTAATCCTGTCATACCCACGACTGACTGAAGTTGTTGTTGTTGTTATTGTTGTTGTGGTGATTTTCCAGTTGGAAGCTATTGGCACATCAGTTTGTCACTTTATCACTTTTCCTTTAACAACTGTATTGTTTTGAAAGCAGTTAAACTAACTGTTGACATGCGTTAAGTGTACTTACTCAAGTAAACGCTGCTAGTCCTTAAGTACGGGCGCTTGACTGCTTTAGGCAATCAAAGGCAAAGTTAACATAGAACAAATAATAATTAATTGGGTTTAACCAAAATCAGCCTCACCTGTAATCTGTGTTTGTGCTAATTAGCAAATGCTAGCTTACAAATTTGTATAGGTAGAATGGCTCTAGCATGTAAAACATTTACATCTATGCCACCATAGTTGGTCACTTTTCCATACAGTTACAAATATTATTTTTTGTCCTGATTCAAAAAATGTGTGGGAACAAGGTTATGTGATGTGTTCTATATTTACACTCTCTGGTACCATCGACTTAATGTTTACAATTATAAAGCATTCTACATAGATAACAGTTGCAGACAAAACATTTTCAGTTAACTTCATTTCAGACCCTTATTATGCTAAATGGTGAGTCTACATCAAACCTACGTTTAGTTTTTTTTGTTTCTATGAGAACTTGATACTGGCAATTATCCTTATTTTTCTGACATTTTATGCAACCAATCTCCAAAAATAGTCCACAGTCATTTTCCAAACTACTGAATTTGCCGCTCTCATCAGCTGGATGTTTATCTTAAACTATCTGCTTCCGCAGTCCTACCAGAACAGGGTTATGACTGATTATGAATGATATCTGTCTGGAGAGTATTCCCCTCTACAGTCTCGGATCATTAAACTCATGATCTCATTTCTTATGTTGACACATCAGACAGGCAGCGCCCTGTAGCAGCATGTGCCTTGTCAGGAGGAGACCGACACATGCTACAGGAGAACAAGAATGTGTGTGTTGAATACGGCATGCCCAATCTCCAGCACCATGATGTGATTTTTTTCAATTTCTTTACATTTGTAATTGATAAGACTAAAAATCAATTAACTTTAAAACACATTCAAACCACATTTGTTTTGTTTCTAAAATGAAATCTAAATAAAAGTCAGATATTTTTAGAAATGAGGCCTCTCTGGTATACAAACAGCGCTGCGGTGTGCCTCTGAGCCCACATTCACATACGTTTTTATGTCATCTGTTTGGGTTAGCCTTCTCTTACACAGCTTGCACACTGCTGCTCTTGTAGCGCACCTGCATTCCACCACCTTAAAAACTGCCAGCTGTGTGTTACCTTGAACCCTCATCTGCACTCATTTGGCTCTTCCTGTTTGAAAGTAAATAGCATGTCAGCTGACCAGACAACTCTGCACACCTGCAGCCCCGAATGCACCGTTATCCGTGGAAACATGCTCTTGTTTTGACAGCAGTCGGTTAATTGTCCCCTCCCTTGTGTGATTGTGTGGAGCTCTGGCCTGTTGCTCTTAACTCGCCAAGCCACATGGTTTCCCCACATGTCATCGCCCTCCTTCCCTTCTGCCCGGCCCTGCCAGCAGTACTTGGTGGCGTGGGAGAGCTCCTAAACTTCAGACGTCTTTAGCTTTTGAGCGGAGGCCTGCATTTCCTCCCTCTCCTCATTGCTGTCCCTGACCCCACCCCATTCCACCCTTTAGAGTCTTAACAAGCACTTCATACACAAAGCAGTCTGTACTCCAACACGGTCACCGGCCCCCACAGGGACACGACCCCTGCTAGCTAAAGCTTCAGAGGCCCGGCTCTCCAGACACTAAGCGTGACCCCGTGATGTCATACCCAAGCGTGTGCGTATGTATAATCCAGGAGGAGGGGGTGGTCGTATGTCACCCCCGCAGTGTAAACTAACTGTCCTGGGTCTACAAAAGGTCTGAAGGCTTACAGCTGACCTCCACTTTAAAGCTGCCTGTCTCTGCCAGGGGCTAAAGGTGTCTGGTTACTTTTCGTAAAATCCAAAGTGCTCAAAATGTAGATCCCACAATCCTCTTACTATTTGACTTGAGAAGGCTTGTGTGCCCTTCATGCATCTCATCTATGTGGGTGCAGACTGTTGCTGCTCAGACATAACACTGACTGAATGTTTGTACCTCAAACATGATTTGTGGTTCGGCCTTTCTACCTCCAAATACAAAAGTATATTTTCATATGCACTGAAAAGAATGTCAGTTCTTGGTTCAGGCGTTGTTTAAAGCTCAAGGTAGATTTTCTACTCCGAGTGTTCCTTTCATTTTTATGAGAAAAGCTCCACCGGGCAACTGGAAATGTTTTGTGGCCGGGTGCTACCTTTTTAAAAAAAATGTGTTTCACCCCAACCACATTTGAGCTACCAAGCAAGGGCAGGGGAAAAAATGAGAAATTAGTGCCAACTTACATTTGGTTTATTAGAGAAGTTCCATTACTGAAAAAGACTCAATTCAATGTTATGTTATTAAGCTAGATTTTTGAGTTTTAGAAAAAAAGACAAATATTTTAATCCACCATAAACACACCTGAAAAAAAAGATAATGAGCACTCGCCCACAACCCCCACCATGAGCACTTTGGGACATCTGTTGCTTAGAATTGTGTGATGTAAGTCATCAATAGGGTAGATAAGACTGTGCATAACCTCCAAAACAGTTCACGAGTGACCACCACCCAATTGTATCAGTGCTGGTGGGGGTTGTGGGCGAGTGGAGCTCAGAACATCGTCCCGACATGCCCCTCCTGCTGCACTCCTATCTTTTCTCAGAACACAGCCTCCTTTCAGTTCTGTCACTCCACTGATTAAAGGCCGGGGGGCCCTCGGTGTGTCAGACTGCCACACAGCACGTTTACAAGGGTGCTGTTTACCCATTTCCTTCTCGACTCATTACCCGAAAAGGGCTTAACCATTGAAAAGCAGCAGCAGCAGGCGGTGGCAGCTCTGAGACAGAGAAATTTGACCTCACTAGGCAAGCATACATATTCTCATGCGGCGGCATAATAATCAAATCCATTACAAGAGTATGCATCCCAACTTAAATCACACAGTAATGCTTTGTGTGTAATTTAGAGCATAGCATGTCAAGCAATCTTTAAATTACTCAGTTGATGACCTTCTGCACTCAAGAGGCACTTTACACTTTCAAAGAATGACAAGCGTTTTTGCAACATGCAGTAGTGTCAAACAGTCGTAGTTGAGGAGCGAAACCAAAAGGTAATGACGGTGTTATTGTGGAAGTTTGCACAGGCTCCAGAGTTGGGGAGGCGAAGCAGACAAACGCAGCAGCAGCAGCAGCCCTGACACATGGCCCACATTCACAGCCGCCTCCCACGTCACTGTGCTCCTCAGAGAAAAAGACCCTTTTGTTTCCCAGCGCAGGGAGGGAGAGGGAGGTCTCTGGGGTGAACCGCCGCTCAGCTCCACCACTCCACCCGCCATCAAAAACAGAAAAAAAGAAAAGAAACGGGGACCGGACTTCCCACCCCTGCCTGGCGTCCTCCCTACTCACTCCCCGCTTCAGCACACAAACACAGGCCCATCAGTAGAGCCACTACTACGCTCGTGATTGTCTTTTCCTGCTTCTTAATTGGGTCAGTCTGCATTGTTGCATTAAAGACGTCTCCAACAATGCCCTTCCTGTTAATGCATGTGCTCAACTAATAGAAGCAGGGGAATTCTATATCAGATTCTTCACTTGGATAAAAGTAGCATACCACAATTTAGTCTTGCATTAACAATGTATGCATACAAAGGTATGACAGTGCTATTTCTTTTTATTTTATTTAAAATGATTACAGATGCATTTACATGTTAGCATGTGTTTAATAGTTTAGTTTCCTGTAGTGGACACACCCACATATGACTGTGATGTAGTTAAAGTAACAAAACAATTCTAAAGTAGAAATATCTCAAAGTAAAATAATTACATTTGCATTCAGTCTAAACACACATGATATTTTGTGAATAAAGACGCTGAAATAACGTGATAACAAATGACACATTTAGAACTGTGTTTTATTTGTATAGAAATATGCTCATGTTTTACATAACTTTGTAGTTACAAATCGTAAAAAGAAAGAATATTAACGCTATTAGCATCACAAAGTTTCTCTCACACAAACGGAGGATCTCGGAGATGCCTGATGTTACCGTGTGAAATGTTAAGCTCTTCAATATACTTGACATTATGTGTGCGTGCAGCTCGTTGTTCAGTAAGATTGAAAGGGGCTTTACTAATGGGCGCTCTCCAAGTAGTCTTCATGTCTGTCCGTCGCGTGCTATCGAAGGACGTCAGAGGAGCGGACACTCTTTCTAGTGCAGAGAATTTATACAAACCTGCTGTGAATTCTCTCCAAACAGTACAATGAAGATAATCAGGGTTACAGAGAAATGTTAAAAACCCTAGTCTTTGAGCCAACATTAAAATGTCATTTTTATATTTATCAGTCCTTTTATCTCCACCCGATTCCGTCCTCGACTTCTTTGTTCTCCTGAGACACGGTTGAGATACCCACAGTGGTGGAGTAGCTTCTGACTACACATAGCATCCAAAATGGGTGTTCAGCCCCAATCTCTCCTTAGAAAATAAACAAACAAGTGCTGGAACGGTCACTGCATTAGCTTTCCACTTGCTTTGTCCTTAAGACTATCAGTACTGTTTACTGTACCACCTTGTGATAAGCTCTGTCCCCTAAATTAACGTCCGCCAAGAGGAAGACAGTCCAGCTCAGTTCCTCTCAATTTGCTCAATGTCCAGCTCGCCTCCAAGCTGATAAACGTCCTTCCTCATGCTACACAGCTCCGCCCACAGAGGCTCACTGTCCGTCCCATTGGTCGACCCCGCCATCCAGTCCACCTCCTCGATGCTGGGGTCAGAAGGCACAGTCCCGGTGATCTCGCCCTCTTTGGTCCGAGGCTGAATGTCCTCCAGGTTGCGTTTGTTTGCTGACGAGTCGTCGCCCTGAGCAGTGCTCCTGAGAGGGGGTGGGGCTTGGCTTGTCTCGCAGACATCTTCGCCGGTGATGCCAGGGCAGCTAAGGCTGTGGAAATTCCGAAGTTTCTGTGGAAGTAACAGATAAAGATATTTATTTTTGGAGAATCATAAAGTTCCTGTTTTCAATGACACAATCGTACACTTAAACAAATGTTGGATCTTTGATCTAGTATGAGCCCATAGTGTATGCTTAAGGCATATTTGCTGAGATAATTAAAAACATTTCCTTCCTTTTGGTCTATGACCTATGTCCAAACAACACTTAAGTCATACAGCCACGGAAACAATTGCTCAACTGTATTCATACAGTATGTGGGTGAGTCAGTGAGGTCAGAGCTGGACACTGGGCAAAAACCACAGTAGTATGAAAAAGTTAAAAGATTTAAATGTAGCCTGCATTACACATACAGGAGCAACTGGTGGTTGGACCAGCGAGACCATGGGATCTGAGATCCGACAAGTGGCCAGATACCCAGAGGGCAGACATCACCCATGTCGGCCTTTTGACTCTGTGTCCATTGTACGGTTCTAGTGAAAGGCCAGCATACATGTGGGGAACCCCGAAAACGTCCTTAGGCCAGTCCACATGTGTGAGCGCTGCTGCAGGCGAGTCCTGTGACAGCTGTGCGTGCTGGACTGGAAAGCTTTATGACAGAGGCGTATCCGATCTGTACAGCTAATGTGGAGAGGACAGGACAGCTGCCTCACCACTGTCGTGTTGGGCCAGAGGGACACAGGAGAATAGGGCCTCTGTGAAACCTCTGTGTGGCACTTGTGAACTGCGCCTGCAAATAATCAATCCTCCAAGGGCACAAAGTGTCATCGCCTACCTTATGATTGTGTCCAAAAAAAAGTGTTAAGAAGCCAGAAGGGATTCAGTTTATATAAGAGCTGCAACACCAAGTGCTTTTTCAGTCTCTCAAATACGGTCTTGCTTTTCTTGTTTTCTATCATATTGAACTGAAGACCTTCAGGTTTTGAATGACAAAACACTTAAAGATATCACATTGGACCTTAGAAAATGATGATAAATGTCCATCACAGTTTCCAACATCTCATAGACCAAACCATAAATCTGCAGTTTTAGTTACGATAATGATGACAATTGTTAGTTGAAGACCTAGTTTACATTGACCGGTGTTAAGTTATGATCCAAGTCTTTGACCCAACAGCAATGGGAAAGCTCTCAGCGGTAGATCAAACGGGGGCCGCTGTTTTTCTTGGCTCTGGTCAGGCGGGTACATTTGTCAGCACCAGGCCAGTGTTAGATGGCTTTCTTTCTGCATTAGCACTTCACCGTCTCCACCGTCAGATTTCTGGCCCAGGCCATGGGACCCAACTTATAAGCCTACGAGTCGTCTGGACTGTGGCGAAACACATGTGTCGACATTAACTAAACCCAGTACAGCTCTATCTTACACCAGAGATGTTCTGCAGAAGAAGACTTTCCCAGTGTCCTCACACAACTTACTCCACTTTACAATGCGGGTCATGAATAAGTGCTGTTGGTGTCCACTTTATCTGCTACTATTATCCACCTTCTCTCTCTTTGATTGAAATGAAGAAGAGAGCAGACTCCTCATCCATACTGACCTTGACTCTCCGTCAATACGAGCTGATCAATAGCTCATGAGGCCCGGGTTGTGGCAGCGATCCCCCCCCTCTGAGCTGAATTTACAGAAATCAATATCTCTTTACCCAACACACATCTCCCCATAACCTCTGCCACAGCTGCTCTACTTCCTGACATTCATGGAGCCGCAGTGAGCCACGCAGAGGGTAGCAGTTTCTCCCGGGGTAAACTACACCGCTGTGGCGGGGGGGGTGAGAGGATACTTTAGAGACACACTCAGCACTCTGAGCAGTCATTGAATAGTAAGGTGACTTTGACTACCGATATGGTGACGCATGGGAAGCCCTCGAGTTTAGTGCGAGCTACTTTAGTCATCACAAGTGAGCCTCTCTTCCTTTGTGAATTTTAGAAACTTAACGGACTTCTAGATTGAATTATCAGTCCATTGACCATTGATATCAGTCCAAGTTAGATTAGTCTATAAATTATTGAAAGTTGCGCCCCAGCTAGGTAACAACTTTGTCAGCAGCATTTTTTTGTCCAACCAACAGTCACCAAAAATCGAAAATATTAAATTCGCTAACCAAAAACCAAAAAAAGCAGCATGTCCTCACATTTGAGAAGCTCAAACTGGCAAAGCTGAGGCATTATCCCTTGATATTGATTTAAAACATTAAAAAAGTTGTTTGTTGATTTTTTTTGTAGCCATAACAGCACTAACTCTTTTAGTTGTATAACTGGTTCAACATATCTGGAAGCCTTTTTCACCTGGGCTAGCCCCTTTACCAGAGTAACATGAGAAGTTATCCTTAGGGAGATATGATGCAGCCGTTCCTTTTAAATAGAGGAACAGAGAACACAATGCACAAACAGCAGGAAAGCTGCTAAGCTAACAATCTCAGCACCCTGACGTTTCTCTGGGAAAATATTGTTAGTTGCCTCGCCTTAGGCTCTTTTCTCCGCGCTGACCTCGTTCCTGTTTGGAGTGTGTGTGGCGTCTGCTGGTCGTGTCACAGCGGCGCTGTTGTTAAGACTGCTGAACTCTGGGTGACTTTCTCACAGGGGCCAAGTCCAGCTCTGTGTTTATGATCCACCAATCGACGTACGTGTGAAACTTAACTATGTGTGAGTGCGAGCTTGTGGGGCAAAGGGACAGATTTATGCCAGGATGGGCAGATGAAACAGACTGTTGAAACGGGTCTGATTTCAGAAATGGGTCATATCCAGTTAGTAGTTACATAAAGTCGTCTATGAATACAAACTCGTGATCATCTGAGTGACCTCTTAATTCCTGCTTTGATCAAATCACCTCTATCCCAGAAAGCATTTTAAAAAGGCACTGTATGCTTGGTGCTTTCCATTCCTGTGAGGGCAAAATATGAAGCCACATAATGGAATGTGACCCGGAACAGGCCTGCATATAATGACAATGCCTGCAGAAACACTTTGAGGTGTGCTGAGGGAGAACAGACACAATGGCGTGACCTTAGTTTGAAGCGTTTGTTTATCCAACACGGAAGGAGCAAGTTGCCACAACAGCGTAGTATAACGCGCTAATGTTAGCGAGATTGATGGAGCTCACAGAGCCTCCAGCTGGCACCACTATTTCCTGAGGGTCTCGTCTCTTTTGACACTGATCTTTTGGAGCACATAAAAGGGGAGTTGCAATATTAAAATAAGCAGTTTAAAATGTAATTGATGTTAAACAGGAGGTGTACTCCTTATATTTAACAACCTCCATGCAGAGATTGCAATATTTATTATAAGAGTATATTACCCTGATGAATATGATGCCAACTATTACTTTGTTTGTCAATACAAACTCTTAAAAATACCAACCTGCGTCATCTTGGCCAGGTCCAAAGAAGGCCTCTGTTTATGCGTGTCAGCTGGTCGTCTACGCTTCACACCAATCTTCTTGTCATTAAGAACACATGGCTGTGAGCGACTCCGGGCCAGACCCCCCTGCCCACCACGGCGCTCCAGCTCTGGGGTAGAGTCAGTTGAGCTGGTTGGCGTGGGTCCACGAGGCTCGAGGAGGCAGATTTGTTCATGTGAGAGGTAGAGGGGCTGTGCCGGGGGCTCGGGGAGCAGGATGGTGGAGGAGGATGGCGTCAGGCTGCTGAAGGCAGAGGGGAGCTGGGTGAAGCAGGGCAGCTCCAGGGTGTTGCAGCGGGCAGGCAGGCTGAAGCTGGAGCTGCGCTGCATGGCCGGGAAGCCCAGATGAGCATTCCCCACCCGCTGGACGCTTCCCCCGCTGTGGCATCGCCTCTTCTCCACCGTCGTCCACACGCGAGAGCCCTGAGGGCGCCAGGTCGAGCGGCAACCACCGAGCTCATCGGAGCAAGACAGGGACCGGCACTGCCGCTTGCTGGGGGGGGCGGTGATGTGCGAGGACGCTGCCTCAGTAAGGCTGAGGTCATGCAACAAGCTGGTGATTGTGGTCGAAGTGGAGCCCACATCCCAATCCCAGTGGGCGGAACTCTTGTGCACCTCAGGCAGGACGTCCCACAGGCTCTCCAGGCTGGTCCCCACCGGCCTCTGCTGTATGGCACAGCTATGACTCAGCTCACGCCACCGGCTCGACTCTGCAACAAAAGACAAGATACTTTATTTAAAAAAAAGAGATGGACAAAATATAGAAAACTCAAATGTTGACCACTATATAAAACCTCATGTTTAATCTTTTATGTTTGCATATCAACACTGAGATTTTGGTACATCATACATGGTTATATATAAGGTCTTGATTTTGATGAAGCAACTGCCCTAAAAAAACAGTTTTAGTGTCGAGGATCTACAATCATGAGGTCAAGTGGCGACCTCAACATGGACAACATCCATGACCCTGCCCCAGTCTGGGTCAGCGCACTGTTCCCAGCATGTGTACTTTGCATTTTCACTACTCACTGCAGTGTGTAACTGGCACTACCAATAGTCCTGTCCTCAGGGCACTGCTGTATTGTCAGTGTGTAATCACAGCTAATTGTGAAAAGGGAGCAGAGCTCAATGTCTAACTGACTCGATATCAAACCTCATCTCTGCTGGAGCACGGTGTGATAAAATGTCAATAACCCATCATAAACATTCTGACCAAAGCTAATCACTCCTTTTTTTTCTTGTTGAGATCAGCAAGGTCCCTGAATAGACCAGCTCACTATCTGCCATTACTGATCGTCATGCTTGGAAAGCACCTGTTATTCTACCAACAGGAACTCCCTGAATTGCTGAATGGGTTAGCCAACTGAATTGGTCAGTCAACTCTGAGTCGGATACTAAATGTCGAGGCCACTGCCCACTCCTGGTATGCAAAAGTTCCATTCTTCTGCTGTGGAGATAAAATCCCCAAAATACCATCTACACTACCCGGGCAGGAGGAAGAACAAAGGGCAGTGTTAACAACACCTACTGGTGCTGCCGTGTTCACTGCCAATGTTACACACTCTATGCCAAGTTACTGCAAGGACAGAATACTATTTAATCCTACAATACAAAGATTGTAAAGGCTCTTACTCATAGGGCATGTTAAACCAACTTTGTAGTTCAACTTGCGTACAACATCAGCTTAAAAGCATGAAGGAGGGCCTTATCATAAACAGCAAACACATTGTCGTTAACACACATTCATCTTGGCAGGAACACCTGTCAGACATGTTTCACATAATGCAGTGTGACCGTCCGCCAGATGCAGCAGAGACCAGCATGCTGCCGTTCTGCCAATTATTTCTCAGAAATGCCCCTCGAAACAACTGCTGCCACATAAGTACACATTTACTCGTCATGTCCAGTTTGTAACGGCAAGTATGTGTGAATGTGTATATTGATTTAAAAGATGGCAAACTCTTACCCATGAGTCCACAAGAGAAAAGGGCAGTCCCCTGGCTCATGGTCTGTGATTGGAACTGCAAGAGAGATTCACTGTCAGCTCGCAGGAAACCAGAAAGTCACATAAATAGGTTTGCAAAAAAAGTACAGGAAGTTCTAACATTAACAAGCTAATAAAATCTACAAATTAAAAAAAAAAGTGTAACATCTATTTCCAAGTTCAAATGTATGTTTAATAAAAAAAGTAAATGTTTTCACGTTGCGAAACAATGACTAAGTGTGACCCATCATGAGAGGGCGGGTTCCACCATAAAGGCTTTTGATTGACACGCAGCCTCAGAGCATGATGACTTATTTTCACGTGGCTGAGAGGGCAAACTCAGTCCACATTGGTGGGGGGACTATTTCACTCTATGCTGCCACAGAGAAGGTTTCTATTGCACAGATGCTGATTAGAACATGAGTCAGAGTTGCTCAGCCAAATAGAACTAAAATACTCCATTGTCATTTTGAGTGAAGTAAATGGAACAAGGGGGATTGAAATTCAGATGACGATTGTCCTGGTGATAACAGTGGACAGCTACTATAATTACCAGTAATTGTTACAAAAACATCCCAAATCCCAATCTTCAACATCCATATGGTATTGACATCACTTCCTGACATTCAGTCAGGCAACACTAGTGAATGTTCCAACAAATAGGACTAAGGGGAAGCTAAAAGTCTTATGTAAGCTTAATGAAACCTGTCAAAATAGGAACATTTCATCAGCCATAAACCTGCTGTGTAGCTATGACTTGCCGGTAAGAATTTCCTAATTTAGAGCAACACCTTGACACTCGCTCTGTTGACGAGTACAGTCGATGCCTGTTGGCAAGGCAACATAAAAACATAAAATGACACATTTCACTTAAAATTGCTTACAAAAGTCGAAAATAAATTCTTACCGGGCCCAAATCTGTACTTTTGGATGTTACATCGTCAGCACCCTTCTTTTCCAGTGTTTTCTTGAAAATGATCACCATGGCAACACACATCCTTGTCCCAAGTCGTTCCAGTGAGGGCAGGAAAAGCTGGCGGCCATCTTGACGGGCATGGTGTGAGCAGGCTGTTTTCTCATAAGCTTAAGACAGCAGTCCTCGACTCCTTCAGGAATGTGCTTCACTCCTCGGCCCAATCCTGAGCAGACAAACGAAGACGAGCACAGGATTACAATTCAGAACATTTCTGACATTCTGTCGAGCATATAAACAGAGAGCAATCCAGCTGGATTGAGGAGAACAAATCCCCCTTAGTGGAGGCTATAAAACACTGTCAATGGATAGCAAACGCAATGTTCTCTAACACTAATAATCAACTCAAGTGTTTCTTTTCTGGATCAAACATGTTCTGAAACAACAGTCGGTTGCCTTCATCGTTGTGGAGGATGCCAGCTGGATTCAAAGCCAATAGATTACAATAGTGACCAAAGTCATTATCTTCAAAAGGAGGACTATGCAGCAGGAATGGTTGGAACATTTGCTATGACATTCAACTAACTGTAAATCCAAGCTGTCTATATCTATCTTCCTCCCTTAAGGAACGAGTTATACACTTTTCAGAGCCACCTGTCAAGCCATCAGGAATTGACAATTTGATACTCAAAGGACTTTTTAAGGTGTAGTTCTATTGCAGTTCTCAGGCACATTCAAAGCATAAGCGCCTCATTTGTTTGCATTTTGAGGTTACTATAATTCTTCAACTGGCACTCTTGCAAACCTGTTCAACATCTACTTCAGTGAAAGGTGGAAATTGAAGGGAGGTCATTGGTTTGACAAGCTTCTACACTTTTCAAGTGAGCGAGCAAACAGGACAAAGGTGTCGCCTATGTCGCCATGTGTGGTAGTCTGTCAATTGAAATTGCACAGCACTTTCACTTCCACATGGTCTCTCTGCAGTGTCACCAAAGTCCAAACTTTATCTATTGTTCTGTCTGAGAGAGTGAGTTTCCTCAAAGTGTTCCACACTGGAGCCCACAGAGGAATAGAGCAAAGTCAAAGTTGTGTAATTGAATCCTCAGGGGCTGGCTGGGAATAGCTGACCTTGCAGTTATCAAAACAACCCTCTTCGCATTAGTGCTGCACCGCGGTTACAGTACGCGTATGATTAGCCACACATGTAAATCGAGGATTTTTACTACCACTAGATCACTTCCGCTTGAGGCGACATAAGGTAGGGGATTGAAGCAAAGTGCAGTTGACACAAGATGGACGTATGATGCCCACAAGGTCAGAGTGCGTCTGTTTGAATGACAAAGGGGGAAGGAAAAAGAGATGGTGTACGTGAAACAAAAGAGTGCTCTGTGCAGAAGATGAGACACCGTGGGAAACAAAAGAGGCGACATCAGAGGTGCGGGTGGTGGGGTGGAGTGTGTGTGTGCAGGGGAGTGGAGGGAGGCAGCATCACAAGACCCTGAGGGAGCCAGAATACTGGAGCTGGTGTTTGCATTTCAGCATATGATTTCCATTACTAACACTTATCACGTCAGGAAAACAACTTAAACAAAAGGATGTTTGAGCAGAGTTCTACAAGTTCAAGGAAGTGGCAGCTTTAACTTGGTGCCTTGTGTGAAGAGAAAAGAGCAGATCAAAGCTCGGAGACGGAAAAGGTCAGGACACAGATCTGTGTTTCACAAATAAGGACATTCTTGGGGTAAAGGAGTTCTTTTTATATATATAACCATTAATGGCCTACTAAAGGATGCAGATGGCAATGACACAGAGAGAAAAAAAGACTCCTAAAGAAATGATATTGGCAAAGACTAGAAAAAGCTCTTCAACATGATGTTTACCCAAACAACGAATGATGTTTTCCTTCCTTAGAAAATGGAAAATGTCTTGACTTTAGCCTGACACTTTGGACTCTAAACTGTAAACAACATCCACGCAGAATCCCCACTATTCATCATCTTTTCATCTCCATAAATCTAAGTGCTTTAAATGGGCGAGGTTTATAACCTAATTATAAACTTTCCTCAGCTCTATGACATAATTTGAACACACAATTATAAAGCCTAACCTAGCCCCACAGCCTTTTAAAACTTGTAAAACTTGTGACAAAAAAAAATAGATGTTTGAGAAGTGCTGCCAAAGGCTGTCCGCTCCTCGTAAAGACACCATTTACCAAGGCATGACTTCAAATGCTTAATGGATACATCCAATGCACTCACCTTTTGGGTGCACTGCTATGTTCAAAGATACAAATGAGGCTACAATCTATTAAATAAGGCATCTTGAATTTCTGCCAAAATGGTGCCATTTTCCTTCAGACGCCAAAACTTGATTCGCCTCCATGATGATCCTCTCTGAAGAACCAGCACCTTACCGTGGTAGAGAGGTTTGTGTGCCCTGATGAACCTGGGGGCTGTGTTGTCTGGAACCTTGTGTTCCTGGTAGGGTCTCCCATGGCAAATTGGTCTCAGGCAAGGGGCCAGACTAAGATTGGTTCACAAGATCATGAAAGAACAACAAAGAAGTGAGGATACCCGGCCCGGAGGAAGCCCGGGGTCCCCTTCTGGAGCCAGGCCCAAATGGAGGACTCGTCGGCGAGCGTCTGGTGGCCGGGCTTGCCACGGAGCCCGGCAGGGCACAGCCCGAAAAGGCAACGTGGGCAACACCTCCGCTTCTCCGTCCCGCGGGCCCACCACCTACGGGAAACAGTGATGGGGTCGGGTGCGCTGCCAGAAGGGTGGCAGTGAAGGCAGAGGGTCTCGACGGACCAGACCCGGACGACAGAAGCTGGCTTTGGGGACGTGGAACGTCACCTCTCTGGGGGGGAAGGAGTCGGAGCTTGTGCGGGAGGTGGAGCGTTACCAGTTGGATCTGGTTGGGCTCACCTCTACGCACAGCGTCGGCTCTGGAACCTTACTTCTGGATAGGGGTTGGACTCTATTCTT